GACGACGACACACACACACACACACACACACACACACACACACACACACACACACACACACACACACACACACACACACACACACACACACACACTGTCTCTCTCTTACGTTCTGCCGTATGACAATCAGTCCCTTACTGTTTTTTCAGCCCCCCTCCCAACTCCCCATGTCCCCGCAGCAGCCTGTCTACATAACTGGAGAAGCTGTGACCCTGACGTGCTCAGTTGCTGGGTTTGAGTAGTAGCCGTGTTAGTCTGTATCTGCAAAAAGAACAGGAGTACTTGTGGCACCTTAGAGACTAACAAATTTATTGTAGCATAAGCTTTCGTGGGCTACAGTTGCTGGGGCGTCCACTGTGGCCCGGATCCAGTTCTTCAGGGACAAGCAGAGAATTGACACCAAGGGATTGTTCTTACCTGGTTACAGTTACACTGATTTCATTCAGCTGTTGGGGGTGTCGGGATCGCATGCCAGAGCGTACACCTGTGTTTACTGGAAGATGGAGTCTGGGCGAGAGATCCCATCAGAGATGAGCCGACCCATCTCAGTAGTAGTGACAGGTGAGACCCCTTGTCACCCTGCCATGGGGCAGCAAACAGCAGGAATCTCTGCTCCATGTACTGGGTGAGATACAGCCCACTCACTCAGCTCCACACAGGGCTGTTAGGGGCTTATTCCTTCACCCTCTCACTTCCCTGGTCCTTCTCGCATGAACAGAGAGCAACAATACCCGAAGTCCAAAGGTGCAAACAATTCAATGCTTATTGGGGTGAACTTCCAGTAAGCAATGATTTCAATTTCCTTCCTTGGTGTCCCCTTTCCCAGCTCTGACACCACAGAGCCTTGCCTGTATCCCTGTTCCCATTCCCCCCCTTACTACCTGATTGACTGCAGACTATATAGTAAAACCTGAGTTCTGCTTAGCTATACCTTAACCAATCATTTTACTGAAATTTAACTAACCAATCCTAACATATTGTAACATGATTATTTAACCAGTTATACCCCACCACCTTAATTGGTTTACACCCAGCAAAATTAAGGATACAGCAGACAGAAACAATCAAAGAACCAGACAGAGATTATAAAGACAAACAATAGGGAAGTGGGGACTACAGTGATAGAACAACAAAGAAATGAGGATTTCACATCCCAGCTATTGATAAGTGATTTGTTGCCAGACCGGATGCTACCAAACTAAGTTTTCTTTAACCATCTTAAGATCTGTTTCTTTATCTAATGGGGATGGGCAATATCATAACAGGATTGTCTTCCTAACAGCCCATCCCGCCTTATTTCAGTGGGGCTGGTTTGGGATGTGAGGATGTGACCATTCGCTTCCCACCGTATGGCTGCCCCTGCTGCTTAGCCAAAGGCCTTAGCCTAAGAACAAGGTAGGGTGACCAGACGTCCCGATTTTATCGGGACTGTCCCGATATTTCCTTGTTTGTCCTGGACAAACAAGGAAATGCGTCGGAGCCTGGAGCCCGGAAGTGCTCGCACCCCCCCCCGCCCCAACTCCGCCCCCTCCTCCCCACATTGGCTCCCTCCCCGAATCCCCGCCTTTTCCCCAGGCTCACCATTCCTCCTCCCTCCGCAAGCGCTGGAGGGAGGCCCGGGAGACGCAGGGGAAGCGCGGGGCCAGGGTGAGTAAGAGTCCGGCCTGGCCCCGAGCAGGCAGGACTCAGTCGGGCGGTAGGGAGAGGAGGGGGGCGGCCCGCGGGACCAGGCGGCGGCTGTTCTCCCCCCGGGCAGCGGGACTCGGGAGCAGCCGCTGCTGCAGCTCCCACTGCCGCGGGGGAGGAAGCGGCCGATGGCG